CCCAGCGGGCCATACGGCTCTCCTCATTGTGTATCTTGTCACCCGCGCTGTCTCTGAGTCTGACTGACGCCTGTTTTCCTGGGACCAGTGGTGAGATTCACTTGGAAAAGCTTGCGGTAATTGCCTACTGCTCATGCATCCTCCACTTCGTATGGCCGACAGGTCCACCTGACTTCCTAGTCAGCATGCAGGTTCAGCTTTACTTCGCGCCTATTAGTCGGTCTTGTCACATTGTGCTCAGAGCCAGTCTGAAGTTTTCTTCCGAATTCCATCCGGTTCACCGACCTCTTAGCTATCCAGGGACTGGTGCGGTGACGATTGATACTACAACAAGCGGATGCTCCCGCGTCGTTCATGGCGGCCGAGATCCTGTTTCACTGAAGCTCAGTGTCATTGGGACAAGAGAGCGGAAGTTTGGTACGCAGGGCATACTGATAAGCTTACCTAACCTAGGGGCCAAATAACTTCTCAGTTTCCAATTGGGAGACGCGCGGTGCGCTTCCCGGTTAAGTTCATGGAAAAACAACAGCGTACAAAGGCATGATCAGAGTCTACACAAGCACACTAGTACGAACGACAATCCAGAATGGAACCACGCCACCAGTTACTTATGGAAATGTGATCAATTTGGGTCCAACGCTGGCCTGTTACAGTAGGACGCCATGTGACACTTCGGCTCCCGCTGTGTCTAAAAGCGGTGCTAGTAAGAAACAACCGATGCTCTGCGCACATTTACAATAGACGCTCGTCGTTCTCCGTCCATTCTTAGTTAAGCCCATACTTACCCCGTAGCTGGGCTTCTGAACAGCACAGACGACCTACTTGTGTATTCACAAACCCTGCAAGGATTGTGATATCTGTACTGGTAACACTGTGAAGCAGCGTATTCACTTCATGGTAGCATCAGAACTGCACTCGGTGGGAGCATAAGCGAAAACCACAAACAAACCGCGTCTTGTACTACTTAGTGAATCAACCTTAGTTGATGTCGTCAAACGGGCTGCACACCGGAACCCAATCAACCAACGATGACTCAGCCTTAAAGCTGAGTATCATACCTACCCTAACTGGACCCCGTGAGTGCTGCATCAGCGTCTCCAGAGGCGTGCAACTAATAGCGAAAGAAACATCCTGGCATAGTTAATTCACAACCCCATTAGGGTCATTGATCCTCGTTTCGGACACACACCATACGTCAATACCCAGTGTGTCCAAGGTGCGTGTGCGTGCAGCCTGTTGACCTATTTATCTTAGAGTGCGAACGCTGAACGCTGCCAGGGAAACGGGACAGCGTGGCCTTCTAAAGGACGGTTGCTAATAGGCCTCAATTGGATGATGCAGGAAGGTTGCTGCAGTTGCTGTGACTCCAGTTGCACATTGGTTGCTGTCAATTAAACTGGGAATTATAAAAGTGGGATTACTAATGGGGGTCTTGATGGGAGTAGGATAAGCAAGTGGAAAAAGTAGGGAGGCGCCAGCAGTAGCATGTTTTCCCTTATCCGCCCTGCTGTATGCAGCAGATAAGATGACCCTTAATAATCTGCGTGACGGCCGATGCAGGAGGTGATTGAAGTTTGTAGCTCAAAAATCTGTCCGCAGGACAGCGTGTGATTGCAGTTATTAAGTTTTACAGAAATGGATGTCATCCATTTTCCAACTCCCAACTTGGAGGACCAGGAAACATTTTGTCTGACCAAGCTGGTAGGAGTAGCTCTCAAGGGGCGCGAGGGCACCACCCTGTATAATTCAATGGGTCAAGGAGGTACGCAAACCTTCGCCTCGCGTTAATGTCCAGTCTTATTGCGACGGAAAATTTTAGCTTTGTATGGATTAACTAGCGGAAGAAGATAATGTGCATGATCTGCCAGTGGATAGCATAACATCTCGACAGTACTATATCTTGTTTCATCCTGACACTGTATGAACTGCACGACACTGTTCTCGCTAATTGAGTCGAGTGTAGTGTGGTGTCTTGTTTAGTGATAAGTAGGACGGCCACAATTGGGACTAACTTTCTATCTTCGTACCATAGAGGGCGTAGGGGAACATGGAGAGAAAACCATCGCCCCAAGTCAGCCATCACTTCTAGGAATTCATAGTCAACTTTGTCCATTGATTGATGGTATATGTTGGTTGTTTGAGCAAGCTGCCAACGCTTGGACCGGAGTACTTAGATTCTAGCCCGCAGCAAACCGTAGACAAGTATTAGAATTTTATCTTATTTCATCGGACTTTATTTTCGAACGACTGTTGACGTACGTATCCAAGAGGAAATCATTAACAGGCGTGGGTCTCAAGTTATGCGATTATGATGGCTTGAGAGAGCGTACTCAAGTGTCGGTGGAATAATCGTTGCAAAAGATCATTGTATACTCGTGTATGGTATGCTGTTCTGCGTTTAACCCCAATGTTGTGTGTTTCTCAGAATGGGAGTTCGTTCACGTAACCATCAGTGCTACCGTGGATTCTTGTAAGCTAATCTGAAGTGTTGTGTGCACCGGTTACGGAGAGTCAGCCTGAGCTCACTAGCATCGGCGTTAGATATGCCACCAGTGAAGCTGCAGTCACCGGACTCGCTGGACGTGTGATGAGGCAGAGTTACCAAAGGCACTGAGAGCGCTCTCAGGACGACATTCTTGATGTTGTCACCCCGGTGGTGGCGATCCCCTGCCATTGCTTTCCAACACCCAAAGTCAACATTAGTTCATGATAATCGCTTCTCGGTAATGCCTTTCTAGTGTAGCTTTGGTTTTTCCATTTCCGCTTTCCTGTACGCAGTTGGCGATGCAATAGGCGCTTTGGTATCCTATTCGCATCCATACGGCGTACGTGTCCGAGTCACCTCAGTGTCGCAGTAACAGCATACAATCCATTTGTACGGGCCACTTTGAGGGATCATTTCAGTATCACGGGCTTTGTCATACCAACGGATACGTGGAATCCGACACAGGCACTCGATGAAAGCGCTCCATATATTGGGTGGCCTTATATAGCGTCTATCTTCCACTTTCACAAAGAAGACCTTGCAGCACCATAGGCTTGTACACCGTCAGCTTGGTTCCAACGGTCAGCTGCTGATTCTTCCAGACCCGATGTTCTAGTTTGGCAAATGCTTCACTCACCTTCGGTACATGGATGCGCTTTTCGTTGATCATCTGCTGATCCTTTAAACATGTACAAAATTTCAATGAGATCTCTAAAACTTCCTAAGCAGTCTTGACTTGCCGGAAGCCTACGAACTCAATTTATGATGGTGGCTGAAAAAGACAGACAGTCTTGTTTTTGTTGATGGCGATTCCGCACTTGGCCGCTGTCGAAGCGAGAGCGGTCGTCATATCTCGCATCTTCGTCATGTCCACACTGTGCGCAGTCGTCGGCAGATAACAACATTCGGATAGCTGTTTCACGTACTCGGGTGTTCATCCCGAATCGGTAGATTTTCAGCAACCTAACATAGATGCGGTGCGTGAGATGGACACAAGCATTGAAAACACTAAACATACTTGCAATTGATGAAGTATTAAATGGGGCAGAGATAGTGTTACTTCATACCAGAGTCAAAATCAAAGTCATCTGAAGTATGCCCACACCGCTGCATCCTCGGTCACGTACCACTATGAAAACATTCAATAAGACCAGCAAACTTACCTGAACATCCAAACTTATGCACAACTAGCCATATTGTTTTGCGGTTCACTATGTCAAGCGCCTTAGTGAAATCAATGAACAGCAGGTACAATGGCTGATTTCGCTCACGGCGCTTTTTCTACAATTGACCAGTCGCGAGCATCATATCCAGCATGCTTCAGCCCGCACTGCTCCTCAGCCACATCTGAGCAGGATTCTAACTATTACCTTCCCGACTCCACTTTGCAGCTTGAGGTCGCGATAATTGATGTCCCCTTGCTTACTTCCTATGCCATTTTACATTGGTAACACAAGGGCATCGTTCAGCCCATTTGACGCGTTCCACCAAGTGTTGTAGCACCTGTAACACTGCGGGTCCGCCGTTTTTCATTACTTCTGCCGATATCCCTTCAATACCAGCGCACTTGCCGTTTTGCAGCTAAGCAAGCGCTCTCTGCGCATCTCATACAGTGTCACCAAGATCTTTCTTCAACTCGTGTTGTTCCCGCCCGTGGAACCTATCCCATACAATCTCTAAGCGATTGTTGAAAAGACAGTCAAAGTAGTTATCCATGTCTGCATGTTGTACGCAGCAGCCAAAGTAGCGTCTTCATCGCGAGGTGGATCCATGCACTACCTTCAAGTAGTCAGAGAACTCTTTATGTTGGCGGCATTCGGCATAGCGTTCCATTTGCTTTACTTTCTATATCCACCATATACTCTTGATGCGACTGAGCTTCCGAATCAAACATATACGCAATTTGCGGAAGTTACTCTTCTCTGAGGAGTCAGATCTTTCCTTATGCGCAACACAAGCTTCATACTTCTCTGACACCAATGTGCCTATGATACCACTGTTGTTATCAAACTAATCAGGCCGTTTACAGTTTGCACAGTCACTCGTTTTTTTTCGGCCGCAGCGGTCCCCTGTTCTTTAATGTGGTACCACACCTCACCGACTGAATGGCTGGAGTCAATGTCGCCATGGCGCATAACCATCGTATTCTTCTGTTCAATTTCGTTCACAACAGTGCCTAGAAAATGGACATTAAATCTCCACCGACTCACGGTAAAGAAAGAATTCATAGATTTGCAAAGTATGTGTACAATTTACTGCGCGCCAGCTTGTAATCCGTTCCACACTCAGCTCGCTGGACGTAGTTGGTCGACCGAATGCAACCAGTACATAATAAACTTCACCCCTCCTGCACTTTTCTAATCGAGGATTCGTCCTTGGCTCACTGAGAGAGATAAGGAACTTATTTCTCCTACATTCCAGTTTAACCCTACTTATGCCATTACCGATAATTGATTGCGTTCCTGTGCCTTACCACAACGTCAGCTTTACACCCCTCTCTCTGTCCCCATTTTAGCGCAAAGTCACTGAGCATGCTTTCTGTTTTGTGCTCACCGATAACCATGCTTGCAAAAGCTTGTGGAAGAGCGCCGTGGAACACCACACCTTTTTCCGACTCACAGACCGAAGCCAACCGCCTCCGAAACGCCGCCAGTTATTCCGCTTGCGTTCTAGATTCCACGCTAGTTTCAACACAGAGTACCAACTACACAATCTCAACTTGTTCGGTAGCAGTAGCTTCCGGAAGCGCAAGGGCAAAACTTCAAGCTCTGCATCCTCTCCCGCTCCAACCAATCCCAAACCCAGTGGTGATCAACCCGGTGATATTCCCGCTCCTGGAACCACCCCCAAGCCATCCAGCTTCCGGCGTGTACCAAGCAGGCGCTTCACCTCTAGAGCTAGTTTCTCTAATCGATCCGGATATGGTGAGCGTCGTGCCAAACGGCACCGCGTGCCACCGTCACCAGAACAAGTCCAGGCCAACGCTTTCGACGAGGCTCGGACAGTAGTGAATGTTGAGCGTGCTTGCGTTCGTGATCGGCTCTGGACTCCTCCAAACCCTTTCCCACCTGCCACAAGAACCCCGACACTTCGCCGTCACGTTCCAGATCCGTCACCAACCGCCGACCAATCCGGTAACTCCATTGCGACTCCTCCGGCCGCCGTCCGCGTTACGCCCAAGATCGGAGACTTGCGTAATCAAGGCCTGAAATCTCAGAAAAAGATAGGAGGTATCATAGGCTCCAATGCGAAACTCACCACCGGTGACGATTGGTAAGTACTAAATACTACCGTCTCCGTTTGCACAGAGGATGACGATATGTCCAGGCTATCTCGGCCTTGCATGATCCATTTATTTCCACGTTTTTATCTGTCCAGTATGATGATACTGTTCAGCGTTCGCTATTCCCCTTGATTCTTTAGTGTGGTTATAATCCGAAGAACATACATCTCAGCTTACTCACAAAAGTACATTCTCGTTTGCATTGCATGTGATCGTGGTAGTAGTGTTTGGTGTTGCCGTATCCGCGTTTGCAATTGCCCCCGCAGTAGTCGTGGCTTGTGTGTGATTTGGATCGTCATTTTTCCACCTGCTTTGTACCGGAAGAACTCGATACTGTGGGACCTGTATTCGACTGTGATAATTGTTTCCTGGTAGATTTGACTAAGCATACTTCTTCGTCACACTTCTTGAAGCGAACCTATGCCTCGTGTCGAACTTCCTTGATACATAAATGGACTACTTGTGTTAATACATCTTTCGGCTGACCACCCAACGTCCCAATTTTGGGTCGCACTCCTACAAATTCTACCTGATCGGAACCGGCCGTGACGTACATGTGTTGCCGACAGGCAACACCTACTTTTTGTTTGTTTGTAATAAAGCTGAATTGGGATTGAGGTTCAGTACCAAGTGAATCGCGACGCAGTGTGAGATTGCGTGTCGCAATTCATTCACACAAGAAAGACTTCAAATTGGCCCCTCCAATCAGTCATGGGCCGTTGTGACAAGCGTTGTCCGCCTTGATTCAGTGGCTTAAGGGTAGTGGTTTCGGACAACAGCCCAACAGCACCGGGTTCGATGCATGCTCTCTCCACCTGATATGATCGAAATGTGTCGTGCTCTGCAGTGTTTTCGGGCGAACAACCCCCATTGCCATCAGATTTGGCTACGGTCCTTGTGATCGCATTGACCAAGGTTCACTTCAATGTGAATCGCTGTCTGCATTGAGATTGCGTGTCACAATCCATTCACACAAGGAGGACTTTAAAATGGCCCCTCCAGTCATGAACCGTTGTGGCAAACCTTGGTTGTCTCGACCCGGTGGCCTAAGTGCCAGGGGCTTTGGCTGAATTGCGGCTCACTCTTATTGTCCGATATCACCCGAAGCAAGGCACAGAATATCGAACGGGTTAAACACGTCGCTATCAGGCTTATTCCCAGCCTACAGGGTTTACGAAGATTGCTACTGCAGACCAGAGTTATACATCATCGTTTTCCAGTTGATCTCTTGATAATCTACACGATATCACATATAGATGAATTCCCCATGTTAAAACCGCTACATCCCATACGTGCACCAATCAGCACTCGCGACCACAGGTACAAACTTGTGCTACTGGATTTGAAACAGATACCCCATCCTCTATGCTTCGAGCGTCGAGTGGTTAAATATTGGAACGGTTTTCCAAAAATAATAGTCGAGGTATACTCAGTGCCGGAATTTAAATAATTCCTTGATGTCACGATGTGTATTATAAGTTTAACTAGATGTCCATCACAAGCCCGGGAAGGCACTGTACGGCCGTTTCATTCTTTCGGGGATCGTCAGCAGTGCGAATTCCATCTGGCCCCTGTGAGAATAGAACTCATAACTCGACTTTTACAGATCTGTGATGAATATCACCCGACTACTGGTGTATCGCCGCCGACTGTTTACAACCCACAACCACATGGGAACACGGAAGACGAGCCAGAACAGAGTTGTGTACATGAGAAATCTGCTTCACTTAGGGTACAGTAGTAGCGGATGCAAAGCTACTAAAACACATTGGAGCCAACCAACAAGATAGTAGACCCAGTACAATACAGGCGATGGAAAAGTCATAGAACTAATAACCAATCACCTATACCCGAGGAAACGGTGTTAGTGGAAGTGAGACCTTGAAATGCCATCCATTACGAACGACTTATACCAGCCAATGAAATTTACACGTGGTGCGTTTAAACAAATGTTAGTAACCAAACGGTAGCGAAACGAAAGCCAGTAACTAAGCATTGTTCCAAGAAATGTATGTCCAGTAGAAAAAGTAACGACTGCCCTGACTAGGTTACTACGTTCAGCCTACGTATCGCACCTAAATAGGACATTGTACCGCTGTACTGTGCTGCAAATCCTTGGGGATTAACACTGTTCCGCATCTGTGCCGAATCGAATTTCGATTTATCAACCCAGTATTCAGCGCTGTCCCGCGCTCCACGCAACTTGTCGACATTCCAATTGCAAATACAATTCGCGAGAAACTCACTTGCGTCAATTCTGTACACGCTTACCCCTTGTTGTCCCCGTAAAGCTGGGCACATTGGTCAAACGATATGACCCTTATCCGATAGATTGAAAATCCATCATTCTACCTCATTTGAGATATGTGGATGAAAATCGACTAGCGCTGTCCCATTTTCATATCTCTGGTACGGTTCAGTTCAGTCAAGCCACTATGCTCCTGATACCGAAGTGCGTTTGATCTAGCTACCATGGTTCGCGTCATCAGGTTAACAATGATAATGGTGGGCAAATGATGTTGGACGCAAATACAGTACAAAAAAATGGAACTAAGGGTGAGTAAAACTGACCGCAAGGGAACATCCACAGCCAGATCCAAAATATCAGATTCACAAGCGCCACTGACTACACGACTGCACCATGTCTGATAGGGTCTCCAACCACTGATGGGAACCATTTCGGTCAGTTCCTTTTTGCTCACATCACGTACTGGCCACCTTGCGGTTTCGTCCAACTTGGTGCGGTGAGAGCGTACAATTGCCACAGATCTTCGTTGGATGTATCTAATAACGTCCGTTTGTTGTCCTTTCCACGCTTCAAGCAGACGGTTACGCGATTCGGACCCATTTCACTCCATTGGAACTTTGCCGCCGAATAGACGATGAATGGAAGCTTTGCCACTGAGTGATGCACTCACGACCGCACCGTGTGCCAGAGAGAGAGAGAGCGAGAAAAAAATAAAGACAAGTCTTTCACGTAAATGCTTTTATTGACCCAGAAAATGAGAACAATTTGGGATACGCTCTCATCTGTAGCACAAACGACTCGCTACGCCGGGCATGAGTTTTCTCGAAATTTCGCTCACGTAAACCTGCTGCTTTGTGTTTTTGAAGTCGCATGGTCACACTTTGTGTAATTGCCCGTGTTATTATTTGAGTTTGTACCGCGGGTGCGTATTTTTGCGCAATCACTTGACGTTCCCACAGCACTAATGCACACCGTAAAAGACGATCATCAGCGGGCACACGGATTTGATCGACTCAACAAACACTTCACTGATGCACCGGAGGGTTTTATGCTAAACACTAACTGGCGGACCTTGGTGTTGCTTACCAGGTGTTCCTGCCAGATGGGGACAATGCTCCGCCAGCACCGGGAACCAAAACATCCTATACGGATCTCACCAACACTTCACATACCGCTCCGTCACAGAATGTCCCTCGTAAATATGCTGAACGCAGCTGTTGGCGTCGGTGATTAGGTCGTTCGGACGCGCTACGTACTCGTAGTTGGATCACCAACACCAGGCATCGCTCGTGGTCACCAACTTTGTAATTGCCTTGAGCACGCTAGTAGCGAACATTGATCAGGTTTTTCGGGATTGATCTCTCCCATCACAGCATTTCCCGACGCATTTCGTCCTTGTTCGGACTCATCAGCTAGCAATAACCTGAGCCTGAAGTGGAACTCGGCACATGGTGGTTGACGGCTATCGCCATGATCACTACGCCATCGAGTTCCGTGAACAGCACTTTATCAAGCGTTGTCGGACACACTCTATCCCCTTGTACGAGCAAGAAAGATAGTGCTTGGGGAACAGGTGATTTACTGAACAAATGCTAACTGGCGGATAGGCCATCAAATGCATCATTCTTAGGCCCTATTTAACTGGTACACTAACGGCACTTTCCGTGACGAGTTACACCCTTATCCGCACTCCTCAGACAATTATTGCCGAAACTGAGACTGAAGATTGGAACCTAACACTTGATGGCTAACTGTTTGAACATTATTCCATTGAACAACGCAGCCCCCTATTAATTTCTGTTACTTGATTGCTGCTTTTAATTCCACTCAATTCCATATTTTCAGCTATGCAGCGTGTTCTTGTGTCTGTATCAATGCTTATTATTCAATGAATCCATGATTATAAGCCCTCAACTGCATTAGTCATTAATTTCCTCTAATTTGTTCATCGCTTTATAGTTTCGAGGCTACCGTTTAGCGTCAGCGATATGGGACGGAGAGTCATCCCAATTTCCCGGGTCCCGCTTGGAAGATGCACCCACCCTTTCGGCCTGCCATTTTCGCACATGCCTTCACCATTGTGCCTTTTCGAAATTTCCACCTCATGGCTTTCCGTTATGTCAACCCAATCCATGGCTATGCGATATTCTCACATTGTAGCGCACCTCCACACGCACATGCACGCACTTAAGGTCACTGAACACTTCCCCCACCCGCCACATATCTTGTATCAATGTATCCTCGCACACATATCATTTATCGCCAACTTCCTCACGGATGCCCATCCTTATTGTGATAACTATTTTCGGCCCTTTTACACCCTTTTTTATCCTCCATGGATTTCTTACATGCGTTCCTTTCTCCTCATTTTTGAGTTACACTTATACATATCGAATTGTAATGGTTTTTGGATTCTGTATGTTCACTATCATTGACTTGTCACACTTAGTTCCGGCGGTACAGCACATAGCCCCATAGTCATCGCTCCAGACTAGTGATTTTACATTCGACAATGCTCACTCTTGTTGTCTGAAAGTTGTTTGCAACCGCACACTCACCTCAAGTGGTCAGCAGTTGCACGCTGACCAACTCTTCATGGCGAAACGCTTTACCTCGAGGCTACGCTGCTCGTTGACCTCCAATACTGTTACGGCAGAAAACTACAAGGCAGTGACCAGAGTGATTTGTACCGGCAACCCATGATCCTACAAACGCATTTATAAACAAGCGAATGCAACGGACTCCCGAATAGGTGATCCCATTCGCGAGTTCCAGTTACAGTAATTCCACAGTTCTAGTTAGGCCGGCAAGAAATGCGAGTCCTCGGTGAACCAAACAAACGGCGACCGGGGTGATTAGTTCGGGAGTCAGCGTTAAATACATATAACGAAACTTGGATCGCATCCTTAGAATTAGATGTCTGGAAGCAGACAGGAAAGAACTTGTCCTAATGTGATGGGCCAGTAAAATGTGAATGGTATTGAATTACTCATAGGTTTTCAGTACTATAATGTGGTGTCAGCGCATTGCTTTCCGTCTCGCGGATCTCTCATCTGAATACTTCTCCCATACTTGTAGCAATCTTCATTTCATGGGTGCGGTAATTTCTCTTCATGAACTCAGATCAACTCCTCGTCCCTATTCATATCGTTGCACGTTTAATTCAAGTCCTCAGTTTGGCCCGTGATAATAAATCGCCACTTCACTGAAAAATGCTTTGTCTGGACCAATTTCGCCTCGGTTTGCCAGATTGACTTGATCAACAAGGATCTGCACCTTGAACTGTACTTTGACATCCAGTTAGCTCTTAGTCGTAGTGCCAGTGAAACAAGAGTTCTCTATCAGCAATCCGGCTACCGCTTTTCTTTTGCCACAAGGGACATTTTTTAGTCCATTTACATGGCTCACTTTGACAACCACAAGGCAAACGCTGTACGAGTTGTAAAAAGTGCATACGTCGGCTATTTAGCGGCCTCATCGACACCGCATCTCTCTCAGCAACGAATCTGGTTGGCATCCAGGTGTCGGCAAACTTTCAACTTGGAAATTCGTCCCTTTGTATAGTTCATACTTCATTCGAAGTTGGCAAAGTCCTCTTCAGCTTAGTCGGCAAACACCATCTGGTCACTCAATGGACATTTGAGCCACTCACATGAGACTGGTTGAACCTCCATATCAATTTCCCGCATGTTCCCATGACAAAGTCAGGAGAATAATGACAGCGTAGTGGTTGCAATCCTTGGAACTTTAATTTGCACGGCATTGAGGATTCTTTTGAAATAATCGAAGACCTAGACCTAGGCCGACAAGCTTAGGTGCTCAGTGGACGTCCGGTCGTTATTTACTAATGTCCCTTTGCTAAAGACAGTTGAGAACATTTGCCACCTGATAGAAGAGGATACTTTCCGTCTACAAATACTGGTGGACCTCCTGAGACAGTCCCTGTTACTTTGCATGTAGAATGTCGCTTTCCGATTCCAGCACATTTCATATCACCTAACTGATGGAGTGACTATGAGTAGTTCGTTGGGCCCAGTACTGGCTGATTTTTTCATTCTGATGCTTGAAATGCTTCCGGTTCCACGAGGATGCAAATCGTACTATTAGTAGACGAACTTGATAGTGTTCACGCCAACCTGAACGTGACTTTTGAATTCCAATCGAATGGGCGTCTTCCATATCTTGACATTCTCATGTGTCACGGGGATAATGGGCTCATTAAGCGATCTGTATACCGGAAGCCAGCATTGTCCGGCCAGTACCTACACTTCATCACCTTCTTACCGATCACACACAAGCGCGCGCGCTGGTGAAAACATTGTTCATACGGACCGGATGTATCCGCTCCAGCGACTGCCAGGCTGAGGAGTTTGAGCTGATCACTAAAACGCTTATGGAGAATGGCTACCCACAGCGATTTATAGAAAAACATAGCTAGGTTAGACCGCCTAAAAGGTGGTCTCAGCCCCAATGAAAAGGTATACATCGAGCTACCTTTCAAGAGTGATACTGCAGCAAGTAGGACAACTAAACGCATAGTTTCTATCATTCAGCGTACGTACTGTGCCGCGGAGGCGAAAGTTGCCGTTGTCTTCATTAAACGAAGATGAACCCGTCGGCGCCGAAGCACATTGTGTTTGCCAATCTGTCTGTGACTACGGTTACATCGGCAGAACCGGACGGTTTTTGGATTCCAGAATGAAGTAACACTTACCAAACCGGGTTCAGTGCGAAATTACTCAATCTGCCTCCGACGATACGCGCTCGCGAAGCCGCCGGCGTCCTCCATAGGCAGAAGCATCTTGGCGACTCGTCATCGCATTAATCACTTATTGACGTTCCGGATCTTGTTACGTCACGCAAATTCACGCCTTTTGCGATTTGCCGAGGCCTTCGCGATAAGCCGAATCAGACCAGCGTTATGTGTCCAAAAGCAATTAGTTGTCGACGTGCGCTTGCCATGATTCTAAAGACCACAACCATAAATTTGATTGGCTTGACTTTGCTTTATGCCACCTATAAAAAAGACTTCCCAGTTATTGTATTGGTATTGACTAGCTGATGCGGAATGCTAACATCTGCCAATATTCGTCTCCTCATTTCGTTGTATAAAATCCAGGGAACGCCACATTTATCCTCATTCTTAGCCAACTGCGGCATTGGAGATCCTGAGACCGACGCTAACGGTAACGTTGAAATACGCTCCAATCGACGGAAGAGAAGCGAAGTCATTCAAATGAATTCCACTCCGGTGAATCAGTCGACTGCGTATTCACGACGGGGCTTCGCACTGCCACTTGTAGTTTCCTACTGGCATGGTTGTGGTTTCCACTCAAAGCGTTCGAGCAAAGACATCAAAAGTGATTTAACCACAATCGACCGCTTCATCTGGTTTGTGCAAAATTAGCGCCTGTTGAAACCGAACGGCTAATAACCAGACAAATGATGGCTCCACTTCATTACCTGATCACAGCGTAGTGACCTGGAGATTTTCCCATATGATTGTGTAAATTATTTTAAAATTATAGTTTTCTTATGCATTAGGGAATTTAGCGGTTTGCTTGTCGGAATTTTGTTCCTGTTTGTTTGAAACACGATATCCGCCTTTGAGGCGTGGGACTCGGATCGCGAACGGCGGCCCGTCCACGCACTCGACGCCCAGCTACATCTTCCCTAGTTAGTTCTACTCTGGTGCCCTATTTTTAGCATTAGTTGGCTGTTCTCCCGTTCAATAAACTTTTTCCCCAGCTTAAATTTTGTGTGTTCTACCGATTACCTTTAGTTGACCTAGCATTGTACCAGATATATAGCACACTATCTACGCGCTATAACAGGAATTTGCTAACTACACATTTTCTGGCGGCCAACACTCGATATCCATCTACTACACCAGTTACGGGCTTAGCGATCTAATTAACCAACGTTCACTACAATGCGAATCAGAGTCCATGAACTTATAGTTTCGGCAAGTTTGTGCTGGGTATTACATACATTCGCCGAGATTGGACACATGTCCTGACGTAATATTGATTCAGTAATCATGTTAAACGCAAAGTAAGATTGGTCAGAACCGCTCGCTAATGTGTGAGTGTAGTCTGTTAGTGTGAGATGTTTTGTGACATTGCATCCCACATGTGTTTGTCATACAATTTAAGAGGTCCTCTCATCGTAGACACACACAAGTCAGATATATCAATTTCGGTGAGCCCCATTAACTGATATGCTTGGCGGAGGCTGGGAATATATGCTCCCGGTTGTTGATGATAATTGGGTTATGTATGATACTTAGGGAATTCCAAGCGCACAAAGTGGGCTGTGACTTCCGTGTGATCACCTACACTGAATTTGTTGATTTTTAGTTGGTAGTTACGGGTCATTCTGTCGATATCGCATGTTGCCACACCCATTACTTGCGCTGTAGAGTTCTGGGCGGTGACTAAATCTGGCTTGATATACGTTGATGCTGTTGGGATGCGGTGCCCTAGAATGGTTTGGGCCGTTCTGCAACGAAGGATGTTTTTAGTTGCTTCACCATATCATTGTCTCTTACATCGAGCCTTGGGGGTTACTGCGCTATACGTGGGAAAGTGTTTTTTTTGTCCGCGTGCGCTCCCTCAGTGAAAATTGGTGGGACTTGAGGGTAGTCGTTCCATGGAGCATGGGGATCCGGTCGACACCACACCTGCTTTAAGTTAAGTTCCTCTGATGTAAAGTTTAGGAAATTTTTTCTCGCATTTTTTTATCCATTTGTGAGACGCTGGCTTCCTTATTACCCCACGAGGCAAGGATCTGTTCATAGATTGTACTAGTGACTTCTACCATGCTACAATGGCGTCATTTTTGTCAAATTTGACTTGATTCCCAATGGTCACGGGTTTCATGGCGACACGCTGGATGGTAGCCACTGAAGGTTCCCGTATTGCTTAGCTCGTCATTGGTTGGGAGAGGGAAAGATGGCGCTTTAGATGGTCC